AGTGGGTTCAGCTGCAGAGCAAAACTTAGGCAGCTGTGCTGCTTCAGAACCCAGGTGAGAAGCATCTTCAAAACAGAGTCCTCTAGAACCACAATAAAATGAACCCTTTCTGAGGTTTTCTTTTTCAGGAGGTTTTAGACCTGTTGTAGAAGTGTGCTTTGAAGCAAAGGGATGTTGGAAGTGTGTTCTGTGCAGAATCACTGAGGAAAGCTGGGCTTTTGAGCCTCAGCCAAGGGAAAGCCACTGAAGAAAGGGGCTGTGGAACAGGAAAGGCTGACTGGTGAGGAGAGATGGGTAAATTGAGAAGAAGCAATAGCTGGAGGGTAGTGTGGCAAGCAGAGCCTGCGGGAGGCTAACTTTTTGAACTATTAGAGAGAAAGGCTTACTCCGGAGAGATTTAAGAGGAAAAGGAAACATTTTAAGCACTCTGTAGGAAAGGGTGTGCGGTGTGAGGTTGGGAAGCCCTGGCTGAAACAACGATAAACTCATCTTGCTGCATAGGTTGCTGTTCAGCTTCTCAGTATGAGTTAGTGTCTGCATTTCCCTTCAGGACACAACATCCACTTGTGAAATATTCTGTTCTCTGATTGTTCTGTAGCCATGACGGGGGAAACGATATAAATAACCAAGGAAAGAAAATACGTTTTTTCTGCACACAGTGTATCTCTAGCCTAGCTTGCGAGTGGAGTCAAACGTGACTAGAAATTGGGCCCTTAAGGACAGTGATATTTAGGTAGTTACCCACCTGCTCTTAATTAAGCAGCATACGGCAGCGTGCCAGGCTTTCTGCTTTGCTCTGTATAAACTACAGTGGTAAGAAGTCTCGATGACGCTTTTAGAAAGGATCTACCTGGGATGAAATAGTGAGTTCTGACTGGAAGGAAGAGGTAAGATTCTTACTTTGATACATTGGTTGTATATGTTCCCTCTAGTACAACTAGAGAAGGTATCGAGGAATTAGACTTTATCCAGAAATGTTACTTTTGCTTCTGCTTAAAAGTAGTGTTTGACCACAGTCATTCTACAACACAAATAATTAGAGTGTCTTTTCTATAGTAGTGCAGGTGGAGCTCTTAGTGGTTGCTGTGGTAATCGTATCTGAGTTATTAACTTGAATAGCTAGCAGACAACTTGTAATGTAGTTCTGTATGTAGTCATAAATCCTGAAACCAGTTACTTTCTTAACAGACTGAAATTATCCCATATTTTCTTGCTATTGGTGGTGACTTAAAGATGCTAAAATAATTTGGTTTATAACTGGAATAGCATTTTTACTGGTTTCACTTGTTTTTCTCTGAGAAAAATGTAATATTTTGATTAAAGATACTGTTTTAGAATTAAAATGTAAATTGAGAATAATGTTGCTAGGGTCATGGGAGTAGTGCTGAATTTGTACCTGCATAGTTAGAGATTCAAAGTTTGAATTCTGAGTAATTGCATAGACACAGAACTTCTTTCCGGTGGTTCTAAAGTTCTTCTGGTGTGAGATTATGATAATCACACTAAAAGAGAAATCCTTGAGAAATGTACAATAAAGGTCAGACTAATATAAGCTGGTGTCTAGAAAAGGTTTCAGCACCACAGCAGTATATCTTATTAGAATATATTAATAGCTTTTTGAAAACTTACGTCATAAAAATCTTGGGAATAATTTGAAAAAGATTTCAAATAATAAAATTTCTGAGGAAAAAATATTATTGAAAATAAACAAAGGGAAGAATAGAAATGTATAAACAATAACTGAAACAAGCTGAAATCCAGAGGAAATCAGACCAGGTGAAGGAAGCCTGGGAAAATTTCACTGATACTCTTTCTATTATTAACTGAGCAATAAAGCAGTTTATTTTCTAGCTTGAGATAACGTATTTTGGTATGGCTGGTGGGCTATGCAAGTGACCTAAATTAATTGGTGTGGATAAGAGACCTCAATACTTGCTTCTCTTCCATAAAGTGGAAACTTAAAAAAAACCTCTGAGTTTCGAAAAGCAGGTGTTTTGATCTGCCACGGAATAATTTTCAGCCTTGCCTATAAGCTGTAAAATCCTGCTAGGGGGTCATTACTAATCCAGGTGGATTTGAGCCCTTGTTCTTTGATTGAATAGCAAATCATTTAAGGTAAAGTTACAGTTTGTTCAGTAAGAGAGATAAATCACAGCTGCTCTCTTGAGATTATATCAATGTGCTAGTCAAAGCACGGTAACGGTGGTGAATCAGTTACAAAGGGGAAAATTAACAGCGCTGTCATGTACTATGCATTAGTGGAATAAAATACAAAGGTTTAAAGAACTGTGGTTTTTCAATATATTTGAAATCTTCACTGTAATTCATATCGGCACGACATACTAAGTTTAAGATAGTAAAATTGCTGACAAATGAAAAGTACAGTATTATACCATATGATATTTTAAAGGGGTGCTTTTCATATTTTGAGTGTGAAGTTAACAACATTCTTAACACCAAGAGTGATTAATTATCTGAACTGAGTAATACCTATCTCATGAGGACACACAATATTTATGAACTTAGAAAACCTTAATTTTGTTGTGTTCTTTTACGTTAAAAATCCCTTGAGCTTTGTTTGACAAGACAAAGGATTTAACTACCCAGCTCATTTGGGCACAGAAGGCTGTAGCACTGAAATACGCTCTGCAAGTAGAGTGAAGATCAGAGATATATTTTCTTTATGCAATGTGTCCTGTGAAGCGTCTTCAGAAAAAGAAGTATCTCACAAGTCCTAATTGCCGACCCTCCTGTGAAAGACATATGGTTATGTGGGTTTTCCGGAAAGGTGCTGTTCTCAGCCCTCTCACACCCTCAGATAATCAGAAATTGTCAGTCAGAAAGTAGCGTTTTAGCGTGCGGCGGTAATTCTTTATCTCTGGGAGAATAGGTCAGTGCACACGGACGGGAATGCTGAACATTTCTAATGAAACGTGGTGCAGTTGTACTTCTTTAAAAATTGAAGATGTGGCACACATTTTGATAATGGAATAATGGAGACTCCCTACCCCAACTATCATCTCCGTTCAAGGCCATTAGGATTCAGAATATTGAGAGCGGAGCAACTGGGCGTAACAGCCTACGTCCAACATCTGTCGTGCTGGAGTCCATTAGTGTTCAATTGCATCCTATTGTTTTTGGATTATTCAACCTCATTTCATTGTCATTGCCTCTGCTAGGGATTAATCAGCTGTTTACAACTACACCAAGTTTTGGAGTCATAGTGAAAACAATTGAGCTATAGTTCTAAATAAATATACAGTATTCAGTGTCTAATGAAAAAAGTTACTAATTTATGAATGCTGGTAACAATTTAATTAAGTTTGAAATCAATACGGATAATAAATCATTGTGTGGCAGGGTTGGGGTTTTTTTTAAAAACCTTTTGTGTATATCATTAAATGATCGTAGGAGATTTCCATCTGAGTTTAGATAATGTTTTTAATAATACAAATAACATATAAGAAATGTGTTTTGATTGTGGGGTGTAGGTGTGTGTATGGTGGCTTCTCTATCATTGCAGTTGGTAGCAAAATGATCCCTGTCTGCCAGCAAGCAGATTTTCTTTTTTCACACACTCTTTTATTCTCTTTGCTTGTTTAGGAATATCACTAAGAGAACACTTAAAAAATTTACATGAAATATGCATGCATACTTTAATGTGGTATATTAAAAGGGGCAGTTTTCAGACAATTTGTATACTTACGTGGTTTTGCGTGTGTGTGTATCACAATCTGTCTTAAGTGTTTTTGCAATCATGGTTAGATAAATCCATCGCTACTATTTAACTGTTTGAATATCTTTAAATTATTTTAATGAGATTGGATGTGCTGACAGGCAGATACGTAATTCCCATTTTTCTCAAGATGCTGCTCTCTGTGCAATGTTGCATAGTTTATGCAGTATTAAAGTTGTGAGTGTGGAAGGGTTCCTGATAATTTGAATCTCCTTATTTTGGCACTATAGAGTGTAAAACAGTAGTATTCTCAGCCACATTCACTGAGCTAATTCTCCTCTGTTTCATTAGAGTAGTTTTTTTCTTCTACCCTTGATACGATCTAACCAGAATCTTCACGTTTTAATGTTAAAATATTACAATGCACAGAGGGTTGTGGGTTTGGGTTGGTGTGGTGGTTTTGTTTTTTTTTTCCTGATTTGCAACAGATTATCCATTGAAAGGATCTTTTGCTTAACTGCCCAGAGTCTTGTGGGGCCAGCCAGACACTACTCCAGATGGCAAGTTGTTAGGGCTGGACAGAATGGCTTTGGAAGACTTCTCAACAGATGAAGGCTGTGATGGTTGGATTTTACTGTTTGGTTTTGTGTGGATTTTTTTTCCCCCCCGTAGTTCCCAGGGTGGGAAGGTACTGGGATGGGAGCGGAGTGCCGCCCGCCCACCTGCTGCCACCTGTTTAGCTTTTGCACTTTCTATAAAGCCTTGCGTTGCCTGTGAGGCACAGTCATTGCTCGCCAGCAGGAGTCAAGAACGGAGAGGTTTCTGCTGCGGAGTTATGTCTTCCGATTGCAACAATTCGTCATTTCAAAATACTCTCCTAAACTGAATGGGAACTTCTTTCATTTGAAATGGCCATTTGGAATTGATGTGTCTTTCATCCATTAAGATCCTTGAAATGGAGATTTCATTGCTTTCTGTCTCTTTGAGTTTAGAGAAATTAAAAGAAGAAAGCGTAAGACATTAAAAACTCTTTGATTCTTATTTTTTTAAGAAAGAATAATTTTTGGCTATTTCCAGAAGAACCAGAAAGATTCTTTCTTAAAAAAATAAGAATCAATTTTTGGCTATTTCCAGAAGAACCAGAAAGCTTTTTGCTTTATTATTGTTATTATTTTAAATGCTAAGGAAAATATCCCATCCTTGATAACTGGAGACAGATTCAAGAGGTGCGCAGGCTACTCCCATGAGTGATTTCACTAC